TGGTCGGGGAAGCATATTGTTGACCCATCTGACCAGTCTAATAACCACAGTGGCCAGGGAGCAGCAAAGTAGATGCATTTTAAGATATGGGCCACTGGACGCCTGCCTTACATGTATATGAACTTTAATGGCTTCCCAGTCTTAGTCCATAGGGTCCAATACTAAGTTGGCCCGCCCTTTGCAGCTATAACAGCTTCAATTCTTCTGGGAAGGCTGTCCACAAGGTTTAGGAGGGTGTCTATGGGAATGTTTGACCATTCTTCCAGAAGCACATTTGTGAGGTCAGGCACTGATGTTGGACGAGAAGGCCTGGCTCGCAGTCTCCACTCTAATTCATCCCAAAGATGTTCTATCAGGTTGAGGTCAGGACTCTGTGCAGGCCAGTCAAGTTTCTCCACCCCAAACTCGCTCATCCATGGCTTTATGGACCTTGCTTTGTGCACTGGTGTGCAGTCACGTTGGGACAGGACGGGGCCATCCTCAAACTGTTCCCACAAAGTTGGGAGCATGAAATTGTTCAAAATCTCTTGGTATGCTGACACCTTAAGAGTTCTCTTCACTGGAAATAAGGGGCCAAGCCCAAACCCTGAAAAACAAGCCCACACATGATCTCCCCTCCACCAAACTTTACACTTGGCACAATGCAGTCAGGCAAGTACCGTTCTCCTGGCAATTGCTAAAGTGAGACATGTCCACCAGAATGCCAGACAGAGAATTGTGATTCATTACTTTAGAGAACACGTCTTCCCTGCTCTAGAGTCCAGTGGTGGCATGCTTTACACCACTGCATCCGACGCTTTGCATTGCACTTGATGATGTAAGGCTTGGATGCAGCTGCTCAGCTATGGAAACCCACTCCATGAAGCTCTCCTACACACTGTTGTGCTAATCTCATTGCTTTGATAGCCTCCGATTGGCTATTACAGTGATCAGTCACTGTTCAGCCCACTCATGTGTTTTATTTCTCCTCTGAATAGAGAGAAAGATACCTTGTATCATTATCTCCTTGCAGGGAAGAAAGATGTAAACAAACAAAAGTGTGTACAAAAAATAACCATTTGCCCTCCTGAGGATTTATCCCCTTCCTGACCAGGCCATTTTTTGCCTTACGGCGCTGCTTTATTTTAACTGACAATTGCGCGGTCATGCAACACTGCACCCAAATGAAATTTACGTCCTTTTTTCCCTCAAATTGAGCTTTCTTTCAGTGGTATTTGATCTCCTGTGCGGTTTTGATATTTTGCGTTATAAAAAAAAAGGCCAACAATTTTGAGAAAACCCCCAACATTTTTGACTTTTTGATATTAAACATGTCAAGTAAAAAAATTTTAAAAAAAATCAAATTTCATCATAAATTTAGGCCAAAATGTATTCTGCGACATGTCTTTGATAAAAAAAAATTCCCAATACGTGTAAATTAATTGGTTTACGTAAAAGTTATAGTGTTTACAAATGGCGGTATAGATACTGGAATTTTAATTTTTTTTTTTAATTTTTACTAGTAATGGCAGCAATCAGTGACTTATAGCGGGACTGCGGGACTGCAGTGGGCATTCTGACACTGGAGGGAACTGACTTGGTGTCACTGACATCCCCAGTGACACTAATACAGTGATCAGTGCTAAAAAAAAAATGCACTGACACTGTACTAATGGCACTGGGCAGGAAGGGGTTAACATGAGGGGCAATCAAAGGGTTAACTGTGTGCTGTTTCACAGTAAACTCTGTGTTGGTGCTTCACTGTAATCACACTGCTTTGGATTGCTGTACTGTGCACAGCCATCCAAAGCAGTATGCTGGAGCTGACAGGGAGAACGGTATTGTTTACATGCTGTTCTCCTACCCATCAGAGGAGATTTTGCATTTCCAAATGATTTTGCATTTCCGGGCAGGGGGCGCACACAAGTCACGCACGCACCCTACCCGTGTTGCCATTCGTGGCCTCTGTCAATCACCAGGTCCTGGTCAGTGATTCCCGCTGTCACTCAGCGATCTCCGAGGATTTCCGACAAGGGAGAGACCTATATGTAAACAATACAGATCTCTCCTCTATCAGCTCCTGCACACTGCTTTGTATGGCTCTGCATAGCACAGCCATACAAAGCAGTGTGCTTACAGTGTAGCACACAAAGCCCACATTGTAAAACAGCACACAGCACACTGTTAACCCTTTGATTGCCCCTCATTTTAACCCATTTCTGCCCAGTGCCATTAGTACCATTAGTAGCACCAATCATTGTATTGGTGTCACTGGGGATGTCAGTGACACCAAGTCAGTTCCCCCCAGTGTCAGAATGCCTGCCGCAGTCCTGCTATAAGTCGCTGATCGCTGCCATTACTAGTAAAAAAAAAAATTACGCTATATATACCTCCATTTGTAAACGCTATAACGTTCACATAAAGCAATTAATTTACACGTATTGGGATTTTTTTTAGCAAAGACATGTAGCAGAATACATTTTGGCCTAAATTTATGACGAAATTAGATTTTTAAAAATTTTTTACTGGACATGTTTAATAGCAAAAAGTCAACAATAGTGTTTTTTTTTTTTTTCAAAATTGTCGGTCTTTTTGTTTATAGAGCAAAAAATAAAAACGCACAGGCGATCAAATACCACAAAAGAAAGTTCTATTTGTGGGAAATTTAATTTGGGTGCAGTGTTGCATGACCACACAATTGTCAGTTAAAGCAGCGCAGCGCTGTATCGCAAAAAAATGGCCTGGTCAAGAAGGGTGGTAAATCTTCTGGATGGCAAGGTGATATATGAAATGGGCATGCTTTACTGGGATTGTTGGTAAGGGTATCCTTACTATAAATAGAAGTGCACACCAGTTTGCATTTGTGTGTGGCACTGAAGAGTGATTCACATACACAGTGTTTTTCACAGATTATTTCACGTTTTTCACTATTTCTCACAAATATTCACTGCATAAATTGCATGGTGTATATATTGGAATAATATTTATGTTTATAAAAGGTAATGCACTATATGATATTTTCTTTTTTTGAGGTATATACATCGGGGATATCGCTGGAAGAATTGATTTGATTATTTTCTACAGCCTGAATTATTTTTCACTGTGAAGAAATAGGGAAGCTAGGGTTAATAGATGATGGACTAATTGATGATTGGACTTCACTATTGTTGTTTGATTTTTTGTTTCTTTGGATAACACTTTCACATACCGTATTTTTCGCCGTATAAGACGCACTTTTTCTTCCCCAAAACTGGGGGGGAAATGTCAGTGTGTCTTATAGAGCGAATATGGAGCGGCCGGTCCGGTATTTCCACCGCGGCCGTGTCAGAATACCGGGCCGGCCGCTCAGCTCTGCAGCGGGACCTTACCTGTTCCTCTATCCAGCGGCGTGCTGTCTTCCCGGCTTCTGTAGTGTGCTTTTTGTGAATGGTAAGGCGGTACCTGGGACACATGACAGATCCCAGAAGCCGCTGGACCAATCACAAAGCGCAAGTGCTTCTCGCTCATGCGCACTGGGCACCCGGCTGTCATGCCGAGCGCCATTACAGAAGCCGGGAAGACAGCGCGCGGCTGGATCGAGGAACAGGTAAGATCAAACAAAAACTCTGCGGAAGTAAGAGCGGGTACCTGTCAAATTCAGGTACCCGCTCCCCACCTCCCCAAAGGTCAGCAGTCATCTGTACTGTCCGCAGTCTCTGGTCATCCCTGTGCTGTCCGCAGTCTCTGGTCATCCCTGTGCTGTCCGAAGTCTCTGGTCATCTCCTGTGCTGTCCGCAGTCTCTGGTCATCCCTGTGCTGTCTGCAGTCTCTGGTCATCCCTGTGCTGTCCGCAGTCTCTGGTCATCCCTGTGCTGTCCGCAGTCTCTGGTCATCCCTGTACTGTCCGCAGTCTCTGGTCATCCCTGTACTGTGTCCGCAGTCTCTGGTCATCCCTGTACTGTGTCCGCAGTCTCTGGTCATCCCTGTGCTGTCCGCAGTCTCTGGTCATCCCTGTGCTGTCCGCAGTCTCTGGTCATCTCCTGTACTGTGTCTGCAGTCCATTAGTTCAGAATTTTTTTTTTTCCTGTTTTCTGCCTCTAAAACCTAGGTGCGTCTTATGGTCAGGTGCGTCTTATACGGCGAAAAATACGGTATATATATTTTGTTATATGAAATGAGCATCAGGGTGCCATATACTTAGACACAGCAAGAGCAAGAATTATTTAAAGGAACATACGTCAATGCTTTTTCTATTACCTTTGATGTGAATGCCTAGATTCTCCGGGTATATACCGTACGTGTAATTCGGTCAAGGCAAACATATTATAAAGTGATGTTTAAAGACTCGCTGCAATTTAAGCCTGTGTTAACTTTTATCTTCAGCAAATGCATAATGGCTAAAAATATCCCCTTAAATCTGTCAATCATGTTGTCCTTAGAGACAATGGTATAGCTGCACAAACGTTTCTGCAGCTCTGGCACAGTGCTGACTTATTGATCAAACAGTACATTATGAAATTCCATTAGTGTGAGGAGCCATTCTACATGCTACACAACATGTGAAAATAAATGACACAAAACCTGGGCAAAGCTGAAAGGCGCTCGACACAAAACTGCTGAGGATGTTTGTAGCAAAAGAAAAGAGCTGAACTAAACATTTTACTAAAATGATAAACTGAAATATTCCTAAAGAAACTTATTTTCCAGGCAGAGGGAAAGTATTACTCACCGGGACCAGCCAAGTAGAAATAAACTAGTACACTGTTCTCTAATAGCTATATTCATTGATATCATGTTGTGGGCTTTGGGGTCACCTCATTTATTCATTCATTCAGAAGCACTGTAGGTAATTGCTGATGCAATTATTACAGTGGAGTAAATGTTACTAAACCCACAACAGTAAAATCAGTCTGTATATGCAGTACTCACTCACATGCTTGTTATACTCACTGTGGAACCTAAAGGGTTAATCCTCTGCATTGTGTAAAAAAATGCTGTTTGACCCTGATTCCTCTGATCCTCCCCTTCTTCCACTGTCCCCCTCTTATCACCTGATATGACATATCGTGTGGAGACACTGTACATGCTCAGTTTGCTGTGTATTGCTAGAGAGGTTTTTTTTTTTTATTTTTGTGGGAGAGTGCATGTAATCAGCACAGGGCCAATCAGCACTGTCCAGACCGAGGTCAGGGGTTTTGCATCCTCCTAGAGCAGAAAGAAAACTCTTCCTGAAAGCTTTAACCAGTGCTCTGCTGAAGTCACAAGACTTCTCTAACTGCTGATGAGAAAGGGTATTTAGCAGTTTCAATTTACTAAAATAATTGTATTTCCATGTTCTGTGTACTGTCGGAGACCAGATATAGTGAATGCCGGGTCCGGGGAGACCAGATATAGTGAATGCAGGGTCTGGGGAGACCAGATATAGTGAATGCAGGGTCTGGGGAGACCAGATATAGGGAATGTAGGGTCCGGGGAGACCAGATATAGGGAATGCAGGGTCCGGGGAGACCAGATATAGTGAATGCAGGGTCCTGGGAGACCAGATATAGTGAACGTAGGGTCCGGGGAGACCAGATATAGTGAATACAGGGTCCGGGGAGACCAGATATAGTAAATGCAGGGTCCAGGGAGACCAGAAATAGTGAATGCTGGGTCCTGGGAGACCAGATATAGTGAATGCAGGGTCCGGGAAGACCAGATATAGTGAATGCAGGGTCCGGGAAGACCAGATATAGTGAATGCAGGGTCCAGGGAGACCAGATATAGTGAATGCTGGGTCCTGGGAGACCAGATATAGTGAATGCAGGGTCCGGGAAGACCATATATAGTGAATGCAGGGTCCAGGGAGACCAGATATAGTGAATGCTGGGTCCTGGGACACCAGATATAGTGAATGCAGGGTCCGGGGAGACCAGATATAGTGAATGTAGGGTCCAGGGAGACCAGATATAGTGAATGCAGGGTCCAGGGAGACCAGATATAGTGAATGCAGGGTCCTGGGTAACACTTTAATAATTATTAAAGCCTATAGACATAAACAAAGCACCCTGCCATAAAGATTTATCACTAATCCCTTGGTTTAGTTACTACTACTGTGACCCACTATTAGGCTGAAAGACTTAGGATGGAGAGGTCAGTATAGAAGAATAGGGTCTTGCTTTACGGAGACCCACCAAAGGATGGTTGGGTGAAGCAAAAGACCCCCTTCCCCCATATATCTCCTATCTCAATTTAATTTTTTTTAGAGTTGAAAATCTGGTAAACTAAAGTATTAGAAGGTGTCTTTTTTGGATATGGCAAATTTCTAGAATGGTGTTGTGTCCCTTTTCTATACTATGTTTTGCACTGTGACGAACAGGTTGGGGGTCCAATGTCCCATGGTAAGTTGTTTATAAATGTCGTATTCCTACACCTACACCACCTTTTCAGGAGGACCAGTGTTTAAAGGAAGCATGGCATTCATCAAAACAAAACAGTTGTTGGGAGAAGCAGAGTAACCCTCTTGATAGCCACCAGGGTATCAAAGATTGTATCCTTGGTGTGCCATCTGGTGTTGTCCCAGAGGAATTGGGAGAATGGTCTGGTTTCCACAGTTCCACGCATACAATCCAGGGTCATTGCGTTGATGCTACCAGAACCAGATAATAATGTAAGTGAAGAAACCCAGGCACTAACAGGTCTTGCAACATAGACAAGTTGGAAATCAGATCCCTATATATACATATACGGTATATTGTAAGGGGATACAGGCTCAATGGGTATTGGTAGGAGTAAACCATGCACAAGGAAAAAGGACACCCAGCAACAGTTTAGGCTGGTTTATCCTGGACTTTTTTCAGCAAGACAGTCAACAAGCACTGTTTCAATGTTGGAGGGCTTTGTACCACCATAGCATAAAACAAACAAAGCGTCTGCTTGTTCAAGCAACTATCTAAACTCAGGTAAGTTCCTGACTAACAAGGTGACTTTTAATGGGGTCTCAAAAACAAACAGGCAACACATGTACGTCTTTAGTGTTCCATTAGCACTCAGCATTTTTACCCAGCAGAATAATACTGAAAATGAAGTTTGACTATATAAAGATGTTGCATTTCAAATGCCATTTTATGTGTTGATATTCCTCAATAGACCCAGTCTGTCCAGCAAGTATGTCCATCTGCTGTCTTGGCACCATCAACAGACGGCTTAAAGTGTATGTTACCCCAAAAATTAAATTCCATAAATGTGTTGTGTTATACATATAGGTCCTAAATAAATGTAGCCTGTATGGTCTGTGTCTATAATTTTGTTAAATACCTGAAGATCCTGCTAGTGCCTCCTGGCTGCTGTTTCAAACTGACCACGATAGGCCTGGAAACAAATCTATTCTAGCATAGTCAGTTTGTATCTACTCTCCTGACTTAAGAGCTGCAAGATGCCATGCCAATGCAAGGCGTGCCTGTAGTACCCAAGTCAGATTCTGCTGCCGCTCCCCTCTCCAGATTCCACAGTCTAATAGACAACGTGAGAGCTATGAAAATGTGGAATAGACTCCCTCAAGAGTTGTTTCTGGCCAGCTCAGTGGATTGCTTCAAAAATGGCCTGGATTGTTTCTTAGATACACAGAATATAACTGGATATAACATTTATAGGTAAAGTTGATCCAGGGAATATCCGATTGCCTCTCAGGGGATCAGGAAGGAATTTATTCCTGTGTAGGAGTAAATTGGATCATGCTTTGCTGGGATTTTTTGCCTTCCTCTAGATAAACTGTGGTGTAGGAGTATAACTGTATTATTTTTTTTTTTAATGGCTGAATTGGATGGACTGTTGTCTTTTTTCAGCCAGACTAACTATGTAACGTCAAAGTGGCCATAGAGAGTTTTGTATAAAGCTGGCTGCAGGCTCCACCCCATCCATTAGAGGGGAACAACCAGTCACATGACTGCAACAAAACCAGCATAAAAATGGTATCTATTTTTTATTTTTATTTTATTGAACATGGGCCATATGTTGTTATAGTGCCTAGTGCCACTGTGTGGCTTGGAAGTTGTTTGTATTCACATACACTTTAATTCATCAATGACACACTGAAGATGAATCCAACACAATTTTACTTCAGGTAATAGATGCACATTGGGTGATTTTCCAGTCTTTTGAAGTGTAAAATGAAAACCCCTGTCTCTGTGAAGAACTAATACTGAGTGAGTGAACATGGAAGAAACTAGGAATGTCTAGCTAGGACTGAACTAACTAGCACTAAACAAGAGAGAATAGAGGGAACTACCAAAACACTTAAGTAAACAAATTGTAATAGTCCCAAACCACCACTAGATGTCAGGATACTACAGAACATAATCTGATGCAGTTCAATACAATACAGTTCAACCAACCCTGTTAGAGCCCATACATACTGTAACTTTTAATTGCAGCAATGCACATATTTACTGTGCGATACCACAAAGCTTGCTAATTCACAAACCGAGTTGTGGGGGCCTATTTACTATGGGGCAAACAAGGCATTTGCCTTGGGCGGCAATTTTCAGAGTGAGTCTGCCCCCCCAGAAGAAGGGACCTGGCGAGCCACTGCTGAGGATCTGAGGAGGGTGTGGGGATGGCCGGCTGCTTTTCTGTAATTCCAGAGAGATAGGGTTTGTGAATTTGGAGGTGGCGGACACACTGGGAGGGGGGGTTGTTGGTAGGTTGCAGTGGTCAGTGGTGGGGGGGGCACTGGGGTGGGTCTGTGTTGCCTAGGGCAGCACAAGAACTAAATACACCACTACAGGGGCTCTATTCCTTCACCAAATGGTTTTTGACTTTAAATGAATCTCTTAGTCACAAAACCTACTCATGCAATAGCAATAATTAGAACGCTGATTTTATTACTTGTGCCAATACCATCCAATGCAGTAATATATCTATGACAAAAATATTGATGCTGACATTAATTATTTCAAGAAACCAGGGCCAAAAAGTCCCTTAAAATCCCTGCTGAAGACAACCAACCCTTGTCATGACATGAACTGCCAATAGATTGTAAATATCCATCTCAAATTAATCGGGACAATCCAATTTGACCATCTCTGATTGAAATACTGAGATTTAAAGCTGAAGCCTTGAAGAATGCTCATGCCTGTAAAGCAAGGAGGATTGAGGATATGCAGAGTGAAGAATCCTATAGCAACCAAACAAATCTATTTATTTCCGGCACTTATATAGAGCTGAGAATTTACACAGCATTTTACATACATTTACATCAGTCCCTAACCCTTAAGGAGCATACAATCTAAGGTCCCTAACGTACATTACTAGGGCCATTTTAGACAGGATCCAATTAACCTACCAGCATGGCTTTGGAGTGTGGGAGATAACTGGAGTACCCTGAGGAAACCCATGCAGGCACAGGGAGAACATGAAAACTCCAGGCAGTTTGCACCATGGTTGGGATTTGAACCAATGATCCTAGTACAGCCAGGCAGCAGTGCTAGCCATTTAGCCACTGTGCTGCCTAAATATCACCTTTAACCAATTTAATAAAGCTGAGATCTACTTGCTATGGGCATTGTGAGTAAGACCTGATGTTGGGACTTTAAAGCGGAGTTCCACCCAAAAGGGGAAGTTCCGCTTTAAAGACTGGTCTTCCGCTCCCCATTAAGGATTGGCACCTTTGGGGAATGGGGGAAAAGAGGGTACCCAAAATTGACAGGTACCCGCACCCACTTCTGCTGCAATCGCCTAGGTAATTGGAAGCGGAAGTTGTCCTCCTACCCTCCCTCCCCATAGTCTTCTGGGACACGTGACAGGTTCTCAGTGGTCCCCCCAGAGGTGAGCTCTACACAATTAAATGAATCAAATTCAATGATGCATAAATGAATATATAGCTGTATTAACTTGTGTTATTATGGTGGAGGCAATTCTCCAGCTGCATAGCAGCACAGACTTTGTGGCATTATCTGCACTGACAAGCACACTACAAGATAACATTGATAAGTTACCGCCATATATTGATGCGTAATCGCAGGGCTTTTTTTAAGCTGTAACTTGGTACAACTCAGCTCCACCACCCCTGGCTCAGGCCCTCTCCTCCCTGCTCACCACTATCACTTGTAAGCTCAGAAGGCTGGCTTCTGTGTTTACAAGTAACAGCTTGTCTCCCAATATCTCCTACAGATCTGATCTACTGAGCAGCTCCCCCTGAGTGCAGGATAGAGACAAGGCAGATGTAGGTGCCTGGGGTGCAGTGCAGATACTGAAACCCCCACTGGATGATCTCCTTACAAGTGAGAGAGACGGCGCCACCTACAGTGTGTGGGGAGGTACTGGAGCCAGCTGGGTGCTTCAGCTTATTACAGCAATAAAAATAAGACATGTGGAAGAAGGTGGAGAGCAGGGGCGGACTGACAACTCATGGGGCCCCCGGGCAATAGGGGATCATGGGGCCCCTGTCTCCTTGCCCAAACTCAAAAAGCCAATGAAAAAGGTACCAGGGGCATCATATGGGGCCCCCTACTGACCCCGAGTTTCCAAAATGGTCAGTCCTCCCCTGGTGGAGAGTTTTTTTTTAAGGGGGGGAAATGGGGGCAGTGGAGTTGGG